CGCGCGAGTAATAGAGATTGGGGGAGAAATGAGAAGAAGATAAGTTAGAAAAATCGGCGTCAACCGAAAATAGTAACGGGAGGTTGATATTTAAAGGAAGGAGGGGGAGGGAGTGGGCGAGGAGGGTGTGCGTGGGATCCACGCGCATTAATGAAGATAAGAAAAAGAGATGCTTTCCGACGTGAAGAAGTACCATGTTTTATTTCCTCCGTTGTTAATTTGGAATTAATTACTGAATGTGATAAAAGTACATTTAAATTTTAGAAAAAAATTATTTGTTTTAATCAAATTAATAATATATTTTAGATTGTTTTGAATAATTCCAGATAAAAAATAAATACAGAAATCTGAATATTTGATTAAAAATAATTTATTTAAAAAATAATAAATATAAACCAGCCTAACAATTTCAACATTAATTGGTAACATTACATCAAATTTGTTCTAGCAGTGTTTTTAGTGGCGTTTTGAGAGTTAACGTCATTAACTTTAAATATATAGCGGCGTTTTCATTCAAAACGCCGTAAAATAATAAATTTAGCGGAGTTTTTATACAAACCCGCAATAGGGTTCATATATAGTGATGTTTTTTTCTTTCGGAAAACACCTTAATATAGAGTGCTTTAGCGGCATTTGTTTAAAAATATCGCAATATGATTCATATATAGTGACATTTTTACAACAAACGTCGCAACAGAGAAGTACTTTAACGACGTTTGTCTACCTACTTATGCTATTTAATTTAATTTTTAAAATAATTTTTTATAATTAATATATATCATAATGAACTGTGAAATCAATTGAACTGATCCAATTATAATTAATTCAAAATATTATATATAATAAAACTCGGATTTGATTCTCAATCGAGACTTAACTTAAATACGAAAACTTAATAGATAGAATTTATATTACATAATTATTGAAATTGGATTGGATGCTCACTGTGAAAATGTTAGGGTTGCTTTGGTCAGTTTTCATCATTTCTGCAACCTCTTGGAACCCTAGCTTTTGCAAACAGCAGCAGCATTCATGCTTTCAGCTGATTATATTATATATATAGTTTTTTTTGGGAAGAAAATCTAATTAAACCAAGCAGCTGCAGTCACATCGAGGGTTTGAGCTCACTTTTCTCTCTCTCATTTTCCTAGTTGCCAATCACGTTGCAGATTGGCCACTGGGTCCCTTAATGATCTGAGCATCGAGCTCATCAAAGTTTTCAACAAGTATGAATATAAATTACTAATGGTATGATGATACGAGTGGACCGATCGGCCTTTCCTTCTCCATTTCTCGTTTACTTCCGCTTCCATGAAATGATAGCCATCGCAAGTGGCAACCCTAATCCTACTGCAGATGCTTTGTTCGCATGTATATATAGTTTTATTCTTGCCTACATAATAAAGCAGTTTATGTGCCGACAATCCTACTAACAATGATGCTATTAGGGTCAAGCTTAATTTACTTGGTTTTTTTAACGGGAGCTAATAAACATTTAAAATAGAGAAAATATAGGTTAAAAATATAATTTTCTTTATTTTAAAATTAAGAATAAAGTTTCTTCTAATATTTGATCGTTTATCCATGAATATAAATCACTTTTATAATAATTTTGTGGTGTTCTATTCTTCCTTCATGGATTTCATTTGATTCAATTTTTAAATATAATTGAAAGTTTTATAATTATTAAATGTAAATAACTTTAGTTTAGAAAAAGGAGAGAAAAATAATGGTTAAGGATTGATTGAGAGGAAATGCTTTGGGAATATCTAACTAATTAGTTAAGGTTTAGCAATCAGCACTTTTTATCAGCAAAATAAAGTGGTGTTAGTTGCATTGCTTAGACCTTTAGAGAGACTAGGTCGTAGGTGAATGATTATACCAAATAAACTTTTCAAAGTTGGAGTTATTTCCAAACTCTATATTTAATTTTTTGGGTTGCCCTCTCGGTTTCTGATTGATCCCGACCGATCCGCATCACACATATAATTTGACTAATGTGTTAATATACAAATTTGCTTAACTCCTACGTCAATAATTTTTTTAACAATGATCGGTGGCTTGATTGAAATCAAATTAACAATTCAGTGACTTGATTGACAATTTTGTTATTTAGTGATCAAAACAGAAGTGACATCATAGTCTAGTGATTATAGAGATGATTTACCCTAAAATCTTTTATTGGGGCTCTAAAAACAACTTTTAAAGGGATCATAGTCTTGATGATCCGGTCAGGTGTAAAAGAGATATCAACTGAAAGTTAAAAGAAAATCCTTTTAATTGCTTTGGTATCTAAATAAACTCAAATTCTGGTTAATTCAACTTTAAACAATGGGTAAATTATACATTTGATACATAAACTATCAGTTTTGGTTCGCTTTAGTACCTAAACTTTTAATTTTTTTCAAAATCATACCTAAAGTTTAGTTTTTATTTCATTTCAGTACTACTATTTAAAATTTAACATTACGTTTTGAAAAAAAATGAAATTTTAGGTACTAAAATAGACCAAAATTGATAGTTTAAGTACTAAACGCGATAAGTTTTTTAACGACGGGTACTAAGATGAAACAAAAACTAAACGTTAGGTATGATTTTGAAAAAAATTGAAAGTTTAGGTACTAAAACGGACTAAAACTTATAGTTTATATACTTAAAGCGTAGTTTACCCTTAAACAATTCATGGTGTTTTACGGACTGATCAGTTTAGCTACTAAATCAAGGTAATAGCAGTTTACTTAATCTTTCTGGTCAAATAGAGCACTAATACGGAATTTCGAACTTGATTAGCGGAAAGTTGCAGTTTTCGGAGGTTGTATCCGGAGATATAACAAATTGCTTACTATAATACTATACAGTGATCATAAGGTATATAATGTCGGTCTGTATCATCAACCTTTTCTTGGCACTCGATGTAGCCGGAAAATCTTTTCCGACGAGGAAATAATTGGCGCGACCATAACCTTCATTTCCTTCCAAGGATCCCCATCAGTTCTTCGTAGTTGTAGGGCCCGAAAACGCCACTTCTCACATATGCCTTCACTTCCTCAAACCTTGGGTCTGGCACAAACTGTGATGAGAGATCGGGCATGTATTACATTCTCTGTTAGACCTCATTCTCATATTTGCAAAAGAGAAAACCAAAGGAAGGGCTCACCTTTCCTTCGGATCTTTCTTTCCGTAGACCGGCAATTTCCTGAGACTCGGCACCGAAGAGGAAGGAGTTATCTCCTCCAACCTCTTGCCTTATTTCAACATTAGCTCCATCTAAGGTTCCAGTTAGTATACATTGGTTCCACTTGCCTCCATTCCGGCCGTACTAAATGATCGAAACAATGTGTTAGCCAGAGAGAAACATTAGACAACCTGAAGGGACTTATTATGCATCGATTGCAAGTTACTTGTAGTCATCGATCGGATAAAAAAATGTAAACCCTTTTCCGAGCAGCTTTCGAGTTCAATTGCATGATGTTAGATTAAGCACAACTACACAAAGGAAGAGAAAAGTAAGGAGCCAAATGTACCTTATATGCTGAGACAACTCGCTACCGGCATAAACGCAAAGAACAAGACCATAGTTACAAACATGGATCATTTCCAACATCAAGCAATCATAAAAGCTCAATCCGTGAATAGGTACGAACAATTAGCTTGAATCGAAAACGAGTTCACCGAGTATACTACCTTTAGAAGGTCCCCTATTTCGGGATCATGGTTCACAGTACTCGCTACCGGGAATCATTTTAGCCACGCTTACATTGTAATCAGGAACAAACACAACCTGGCATAAACACAAAGAACAAGGCCATAGTTACAAACGAGGATCATTTCCAGCATCAAGCAAACATAAAAAGCTTAATCCGTGAATAGTACGAACAATTAACTTGGGTCGAAACAGAGTTCACCATATATACTACCTTTAGAATGTCCCCTATTTCGGGATCATGGTTCACAGTACTCCCACCAAAACATCTGTGATGAACTTCACTATCCTTTTAGCTTGTACGTATATGGCAAAACCTTCTCCTCCAAATATGCATACCCGGGGAACAAAGCTTGCTTTTCTTTCCTAATGGCTCATCTCTTTCATTTTCTTATAGCGGTAAACTATCCCCATAATGTTCAGTAACTGTCGCTTGTATTCGTGGACGCGCTTTACCTGTAATTACTTCCATTAGGTGTACTACGTACCCAAACTCTCAGTTTTACTTGAACTAATTGCATTCCAAACTTATAGTTGTATCTCACATATGTAGGCATGGATATTGAGATATGTAGATACAAAAAAGTGCAGAAACGGAATAGTATTAACTCAGGAAGAAATAACATGCACATCGAACATTGAATCGGAATTGACGATGTAGCCGGGTTTTTCTATAAGGAAAGATGCAACCTTGACCTTGTTTCTTCTTTCTTCTTCCTTCCATTAAGATTGAAGATCCTCATCATCAGCAAACTGAGGATAATTCTCATTAAGTTCTAACAATATGCATAAAGCCAATATGATGAACATTTAAGGTAAAGAAACTAAATGAATTGGATGCTATAGTAGATGAATTAAAACATTGATCAAGTTCAAGTTTGGATATATATATATATATATATATATATCATACGAAGTGTAGCCAATTTCTCTGTATTTACAACCCAATCTTCTGATCCAATCCACTTGGTTATAATTTTGCTCAAATCTGGATTGCAGAATCGGATCCATCTTCTTGGTGTAACCCCATTTGTTTTGTTCTGGAATTTCTCAGGCCACAACTGCCGAAAATTAACATTAAATTTTCAACAGATACTAAAATGAAATAAAAACTAAACTTTAAGATTGATTTTAAAAAATTAAAAGTTTATATACTAAAACTGATAGTTAAGTACGATTTATATAAACTCAAATCAAACTACACGGTCCTAAAGCCCAAATCAAAGTCCAATCGATCTGCTAACAAGGCGAAGCCCATTAAAGAGCAAAGCAAAATCTTACCATTAGTCTTCTCAAAATGGATAAAATGCAACAGAAATTCAAACTCCAAAGGTTTAAAGCAAACAGTTTTGGAGATTATTGCAAAGGGGGTAAGGGGAAAGGATTGCTCTGCTCTTCCGGGACACCAACCATCTGTTTCATTAAAGGTGGAGCAGATAAAAAAATAAATGGTAATCGTTGTTAACAAAATGAAATTCTTCACGCTTTCACTCTTCCTCCATTTCCAAATAATTCTATACACACAAACCCTTTTTCGTTGTTTCTTTTCTCTCTGGGGTTTGTGTATATTTTGATTTCCTCATCTTTTTGTTAAATTCCAAGTTTTTCTCGGGTACCCTTCTGTTTAATCTGCTTGCATTTGTGTTTTGTGTTGTCCCATCTCTTACTTTGACTGTGATATGTACAGTTCGTAGTCGAGTTCTGGGTGCTTCACTGTGTTCATGTTAATTGCTTGGTTTTTTTCATGTACCATTTGTTGAGTAAATCAACAGCTTATATAGATCCCTAAACAGACAAATTTCACACTTGAAAAGATGTTCGGGTTTATGAAATCTAAGCAAAAGGCAGCAGACTCCGATTTCACCTAGAAGGACTACCTGTGATCCTGTGCTGTTGGCAGATTCCGTAGAAGACAACAATGGTAAGGGCAGAAAAAATAAAACTCCGGCATCCACTAGGGCGTCACGAGCAAGGAATCACGATAAATACAAGGATGATTTCCGTGACTCCGGAGTGCTGCAAGCTCAGACCATGGAAAACCTCAAAGGGTACCCCGTCTACAAGGCCGAGGAGACGACGAACAGTGTCAATAACTGCTTGAGGATTGCCGAGAACATCAGAGATGATGCTTCGAAGACTCTCGATACTTTGAATCAGCAAGGCTAGCAAAGCGAAAGGACCCACCAAATGGCTGTCGGCATAGATGAGGATTTGAGTAAGTTAAGCTCTATATAGCACGTCTTTCACGTGATACACCGTGTTGTTAGCTCCATAGCTTTCCCCGATATAATCGCTCCGGTAGAGAATAGTATTTCCAGGCATTACTATTGACAGAAGCGTTAATAAAAAAACCAGTGTCTACAATAGTCTTGTGGATCTACAATGTTTATTGGTTTCCTTGTACAAGAAGGCAACTTCTTTTTAGCTCTTGATCCCATAATTAGTGTTCTTGTTTATGTATTATAAGTTGATGAATAGAATTTTTAGGAATTACCATTGACAGAAGCGGCAATAATCGATAACCTATATCTAGAAAATTCTTGCGGTCTTTCTGATCATATAATGCTATTGGTTTCCTTGTACAAAAAGGCAACTTCATTTTATCTCTTAGTTCCCTGCTTAGGGTTCATATTTTTAACTTCTTTTTATGACTTTGCAAATATCAGGGTGAGAAGCTTTTGAATAATCTAGGGGGCGTGTTTTCTATGCCCCGGAAACCAAAGAAGACTCGAGATATTACCCGTCCCGTGATCACCGCAGGTTTAAATTTCTTCTTTCGATGCATTGATTTATTCGAACACTTTGCATTCGGTATCGGATTGTGGTATGATTGATTGTTCATTGCATTGGCTTGGTAGATGATAACAAGAAAAGCAAACCCGGGACAAAGGAGCAGAGGGAAAAGTTGGGTCTGGATCCTGTACATAAGTCTAAGGGCTGAACTAAGACAACTACGTCGGAACCAGAACTGACCGACGCCATACAGAAAGTCGAGGTAAGTATCACGACGTGCATACAAATTTCAATCAAACTCGACAACGAATGTGCTAAGATTGATATGTTTGTCTCAAAAGTTACAAAAGTTAAGAGCTGCATCAAGGCACCATACCCTGTAAACAGCATGAAAGCACCATAATGTGTCACTGCAAATAAGTTTGAAAATTCGAAGCACACTGCATCTTTTAGCTCTTCATGTCTCCTGAGTTTTCACCGAAGTCCGGCCCCTTCCCGGCACAACTTGTCTCCGACCATGTGAAACAAAACTGATAACATAGCCAACGAAACCTCCAAGAACCAAGATACTACCACCCCAGACATAATGTGAAAACGTGTAATGTATCGCTTCAACCTTAAGGACCACACCGACATTACCATTGTCGTCGTCGTCACCGCCATTAAGAACTCGCCCGGATGCCAAAATCTCAACCTTATCATGCACCTCACCGTCATGGTTTCCTACAAATGAAAGTGTAAGTTTCTCTCCTGTAGCAACTAATCTAGTGTACCCGAACTCGCCTGTACGGTACAGCGACCACTTGGGTTGTTGGAAGACTGGGTCGTCCGGTCTAGGCTCCCATTTTTGTTGCCAGTCTTGCCCATCCGGATGTTCCGGATGGTACGGTACAAGAAAGTTTTCGAAGTTAAATCATCGTTACGCCAAATTAGTAAATTATTATGTTGTTAAAAAATAATATTTAAATAATATTATATTATATTATTTTTGAATAATTTAGTGTAATTATAATTGCTCAAATCCGAAACTTTTAAAGAGAATTATATATCCTTTTATCATTGAGGTCATTCAATGATAAAATAGTTAACGCTTTTAACATTAGACACATATATTAATCCAAAAAAAAAAATAAACACCTAAATAAGAAAATAGGTATAATTAAAATATTTTCTTTTATATTAAGCCTAATTATAATTAAATTAATTATAATCATTTTTAAAATACATTATTTATAAATAATATAAGAATTCGTTTACAAAATGCTTATAAATATATTTTATTAATACTTCAATTCATTTTGGTTTGGTGGTTGTATGCTTATAAAAAATATGCATCACACGCCCTACCTAACACTCGTCCAACGACCAAACTCCATAGCATAAGAAAAACAGATCATCACCCATCTTGGAGCTTTTACCTAACAATGGCTAACTCCGATGCTATCCCCTCCCATGTTCATGTTGCTTTGCTACCGAGCTCCGGCGTGGGTCATCTTCTACCTTTTCTCCGGCTCGCCGCCTCTCTTATCCGCCACCGGTGTTCAGTCACTTTAATCACTACTCACCCTATCGTTTCTTCAGCCGAATCTCAGCTTCTCTCCACTTTCCTCTCCGTCTTCCCTCAGGTAACCGAAAAGAAGTTCACACTCATCGCCATCGATCCAACCTCTGCTAACACCACCGACCCTTTTTTTCTCCAATGGGAAACGATCCGCCGATCAGCTCACTTGCTTTCTCCTCTCCTGTCCTCATCGTCTCCGCCGCTCTCGTTTATCGTCACCGATGTGACGTTGATGTCTTCCGTTATTTCGGTCACTGAAAATATCTGTCTTCCTAATTACACTCTCTTCACCGCATCAGCTCGGATGTTGTCCCTCGTCTCTTGTTTCCCTTCCATCCCTTCATCGATTCCCAAGGCGTCGCTTCCTCCGTCGCTTTTGGACACGGAGAGTTTCCTCACGAAGGATTTATCGGAAAACGGTAAATGCGTAAAGCGTTCCGATGGTGTTTTGATCAACACCTTTGAAGAACTCGAGAAAGAGACACTAGAGATGCTTTCAACAAAAGGGTTGCCGACAGTTTTTCCTCTTGGACCTCTTCTACCATTAGAATTCGAGGGTTTGCGCCATTGGAGTGGTTTGAGAACCAAAGGGAGAGCTCTGTCGTTTATGTCAGCTTCGGGAGTAGGACAGCGATGTCTAAAGAGCAAATAAGGGAGCTTGGAAAAGGGCTGGTCTTGAGCGGATACAAGTTCTTGTGGGTGGTGAAGAGTAAAATCGTTGACAAAGAAGAAAAAGGAGCCGATTTAGATGAGATTCTCGGACACCAAGTTATGAACAAGGTGAAGAATAACGACGGGTTTGTTGTGAATCAATGGGTGGATCAACGGCGGATACTGAGTCACAAAGCGGTCGGCGGGTTCATGAGCCATTGTGGGTGGAACTCGGTGATCGAGGCAGCTTGGCATGGGATCCCAGTGCTTGGATGGCCTCAACACGGGGACCAGATGATCAATGGGGAGGTGATGGAGGCAGCTGGGTGGGGGCTTTGCATGAAGACTTGGGGATGGGGACTGAATAATCATTTGGTCAAAGGAGAGGAGATTGGGGACAAAATCAAGGAGCTCATGGAGAATCAAATGGTGAGAACGAAAGCTGCAATTATCAGTGAAGCGGCCCAGAAAAGTTCAGAGTCAGTCGGGAGTTGTCATAACATGGTCAAGCTTTTCCAGAGCTTTAAGAAGAACTAAACAAAATTAATTGTTCTAGTGTCAGTTAATTGAGAAATTTGTCTGTTTTATGTTTTGTGAACTCAAGATGCCTTTTCCTGTGCACGAATAAATTTATTTTAATGAAGAAAAGAATAGTTATTATTTTTAGATATCACATATTCAAATACTAATAACTGTAATAATATAATTAAACGATTATTAAATAAAAATATTTAAATTAATTTTTATTTTATAATCACCTTAACATAAAAACAAATAAAAGACACAACAATATTTGATCCTTAACACATGTGATAGCATCACCATCTGAACGAAGGAAAATCAAATAACAAATAAATACACAACAATATATGTAGATGAGAGGAGTCGAACTTGGATACTGGGGAGCAAACAACGCGCCCAACCACTAAGCCATCATCTAGATTTGTGTTTCGTATTACACAATAATATATAGGGTAAACTACACCGGTGACCACTAAACTATAATATCTTTTCATTTTGACCATCATTTTTAAATATTTGTCAATCAGGTTATTTAACTATTTAAATGTATTCAATCATGTAACTTGTCGTTTACATTTAACTAAAGTACTGATGTGGCAAATTAATAAAAGTGGTATAATTACAAATTCGATTATCGATATTTATATATTCTATTAATTGATCATAATTTTAATTTAATTTAATAAAATTTTAATGCCTAATTAGTTAGATGACGATACATGTCACAACTAGATTGGAATATAATTTATTAATTTTAACTATTTATTTTATTTTATTTTGTGTCCAATCAAGTGGTGACACGTGTCACCACCTTTTTAATGCAAAACATTGTGAATAACTTATTTGCAGCCAAAGAGAACCAAATCAATGACCTTTGGCTCTCCCTGCGCACACCTAAGCCAAAGCCATCAGGCTAGGCCATCCAATTGGCATATTTTCACAACATCATGTATATAAATTGTTACTGAATGACTGCGTAAAAAGGGAAATTACATTAAGGTATTTAAATTCAGGAATTAAAGAAATTGTAAATACCTTAATCATTAAATCAAGCCTTATATTCAATTAAGTTTTTATATTTTTATATAATTTATTTATATATTATCATTAAATTATTTTTTTAATATAATTAATAATTTTAATTTTATTTAATAATTATATATAATTATTAAATAAAATTAAAATTATTAATTATATTAAAAATAATTTAATGATTATATAAAGAAGTTATATAAAAAGTAAATATAATTTAAAAATCTAAAATCTAAAGTTTTCTTTTTATTTAAAAAAATAATTTAATGATTATATATTATATATATATATATTATAATTTTTAATCGATTATAAGACTTGATTTAATGATTAAGGTGTTTGCAATTTCTTTAATTACCAAATTTAAATCCCTTAATGTAATTTCCCTTTTTACTCAGACATTATCGGTAACAATTTATATACATGATGTTGTGTAATATGCCAATTGGATGGTCTAGCCGGATGGCTTAGGCGTGCGTAAAGGGAGCCAAAGGTCATTTATTTGATTCACTTTGGCTCCAAATAATTTATTCACTGTTTTGCATTTAAAAGGTGGTGACACATGTCACCATTGATTGGACAGAAAAATAAAATAAATAAAATAATTAAAATCAATAATTTATCTTCCAATCTAGTTGTGACACGTGTTATAATTTAATTAGGCATTAAATTAAATTAAAATTATGATCAAATTAATATATATAAATATTGAGGATTGAATGTGTAATTATACCATTTTTATTAACTGACACATCAACACTCCCGTTAAATGTTAACAACAAATTGTCTAATTAAATGTATTTAAATAGTTGGGTGACCTGATTGATAAAAATGGTGATCAAAATGAAAATGGAATATAGTTTGATAGTCACTGTTATAGTTTAATAAATAAACTATAAACGAACATAATAAATAAACGAACGGAGGTATGTTCATGTTCGTTCATTTAATAAATAAACGAACATAAACGAGCACGAACATAAACGAACAAAATTTTTTTTGTTCATGTCCGTTCATTAAGGAATACAGCTTGTTCATGTTCGTTCATTTAATAAATAAACGAACAACACAAACACATAATTTTTTTTATTCAAACACAACAAACGAATGTAAAAAAAGTAAACAACAAGAATAACAACTTAAAATTCATTAATATAACCTGCAACTTTAGAGTTAATTTGTTCGAATACGACAAAAACATACATAAATCATAAATAAGCTATATGAACATAATAAAGTCTTAAAGTTAATTTGTTCAACAAAACAATCTTTTTGAAATCCAAACAACTTCAATAATCTTCATAACATATTCAATTTGCCCTCTATTCGAACATAAATGAACGAACATAAACGAACATATAATCGAACGTTCACGAAGGTAAATGAACGAACGAGCCCTTTGTTTATGTTCGTTTATTTAATTAAACGAACGCAAAATCTTGTTCGTGTTCGTTCATTTAATAAATAAACGAACATAAACGAAATTCCCGCCGCACGATTCATGAACGGTTCGCTGAACGTTCAGTTCATTTACAAGCATACACAAGTGGTTGTGATTTAGGAATTTGAGCCTGTAAGGCAAAGTTCGAATCATATCACTGTCACTCTTGGTGGACAATCTGTAAATTCCTATGTAAATCACAATTAAGTATTAGGTATGCTCCGGCCTTAGACTGGGGAGTCACTCCTGATCTAAACTTTTGTATACTATATATATATATATATACAGAAAAATATGTTTTTATGATTATCTCAAGATTGAATGGATTTTTCCTAAACTCAAATATAATTTGACCCAACTAAGCTTAAAAAATGAAAATAGAGTCTCTTAAATTGAATAAAATCAAAATATCTCCTACAAATTTTTTTATCATACATAATCTTATTAAAAAATGTTCAAACTTAATATTTTTTCTAATATCCGTTAAAAAATCTCTTAAATAAAGATATCAAAAGAAATAAATCTTTTAAGACTTACTTTATGTCAAATATTTAGTTATCTAAAAATTTTATTTAATAAGAATTCGCATGTTTAACCATCAATATTATATTAAACTTTAATTTTATTAAATTAAAAATTGAACTAATAAGTTTAAGGATACTTGACAAAGACTAAACATAAGAAAAAGAAAAAGAAATCTAATTTAGAATTTTCTATTGCAAAGCCAAAATTTAGGGATGGGCAATCCGACCCCATCCGACTCTATCCAAAAATTATAAATCTTCCACTCGACCTGAACATGACTCTGAAAATATACACCTTCTAATAGATCTGATTTTTTGAGATAAAACCC